TAAATTCTGTCAAGTAATATGACTAATGAACCGACAAAGGATTTCTGATGACAATGGTGAAAGCAGTTAAAACAGATTGGATGAGTAGGATTTGGCCTGAGGTGGGTGGAAGTGGAAAGTAAGGAATTGGATGCATCCAGTTTGGTTATTACGATAAGAAGGGAGCCCAGCCAGTCTGGTTCAGTGGTTAAGTGTCAACCTAAGAACCAGGAGGTCATGGTTTGATTGCAGGTCTGGATACATGGCCAGGGTTGTAGGCTCGATCCCCATTAGGGAGTGTGCAGGAGGCAGTTGATCAATGATTATCTCTCATCACTGATGTTTCTATCTCTCCCTCTCCCTTCCTCTCTGAAATCAATTTTTTAAAAGAGAAAGAGAAGGAGAGAGACAGAACAGTGGCTAAAGGGACTTTTTATTTTTGCTTTGCTCCCTTGCTCCCCACACCTCTTCAATAGTGGGAGAAACTTGAGCAAATTTAAATACTGGAATGAAGGATGGATCAGAAAGGAAAAGGCTGACAGTGAATAATGCGAAGAAAAAAATTAATACGTGAAATCCTTAAAAACAAAATAATTGTGACCCATAGTCTGGATAGAGGTTCCACATTTATCCTAAAAGTAGAGACATTTTTCCATAGTAACAGGAGGCAAATAGAGAAGTGGGAAATACACGCAGGTGCTTTTTCTGATTTTATGGCATGAGGTCTTGGCTCTCAGTGAAGAGTGAGGCCAGGCTATCTGCTGAGCCTGATAAGAGAGGTGGTGACAAGGGAGATTTGAGGAGAGAAGAGAAGGCTGGAAAATGGAGCTTTGGGAAAGACAGATGAAGAGCTAAGCATAGAATGGTTCTTTACTGGTAGTTTTGGCTTTACTGTGCCAGTTTTTACTTTTAACTTACAAAAAGATTGTTTCCCTTGACGTGACAAAACTAAGCAATATTTACTTTCTGATTGCATAGTTTAAAATAAGATGGCAGTTCCCAGTATTACAAACAAAATAGCAACAAAGACTAACAGCAGAAGCCTTGAGCTAAAACGTATTTCTCATATACACATTCCAATAACTGGAAATGCATTTAGGTTCAACAGAACCTTTTTTTAAGTGCAAAAGACTCAAGTGTTTAAAATGTTTCAAGCCTTTCATCCATTCATAGGGACAATAATTGATGAAATCAATTCCTAAGTGAAATGTATCTTTAATTTTAAAAAAATCAAAGGAAAAGAAGGGGGGAAGAACTCTGAGCAGGAAAAGGCAGGCAAGAGGAGTTAGAGTGATAAGAGCGGCTTATATTTCTACCCTTTCTTGAATATTATCCACTTGGACTCCCTGATGTGTATCATTCCCTATATATTTCATACAGTATTGGAACTCAACATGTTTGCCTCGAAATGCTGAGGATCTTGCAGAAAATGCAATTTCCTTCAGCTTGTGAAAGAGAAGTTGAAAGTTTCTACAGAAGTTAAGAGGGGGGTCAATCCCATTATATAGTTGTTAATCTGACAGCCTTCTGCTAGGCTATCTAAAAAATTATAAACTTCACTCAGCTAGGGATTGAAAGCATTTTTATCCTCTCTCACCATCTAGTTTTATACAATTTTCCATTCCTCAGTCTTCCCAGTCAGTTTATTTCTTAGAAGCACTAAAAGTGGAAATGAGACAGCCAGCTCTTACTTTGTCAAGTTACTCTCACTTAGCAGCATCATTCTTGATTTTCCCAATACCACCTCAGTGTCAGAAGCAGCCAGAACAAAAGTGTTAAAATTCAAGTTACATAAAATATTAAAATATTCGACCCTGAAGACATTTTTAGATAATCTTCTTTGGAAGTTTAGACTGATTTAATGAAATAATTTATGAGATATAGCATATCCCTTGAGGGCAAAAATACACATAGAGAAATCAACACCATGTGGAGAGAATAGCACAAAATATAGGGGGAAAGGTCACCACAGTACATTTGGTTGCTGAATGCATATGCTGGGAAGAACTGAATTCTCTGTTGAAATCTAGTTGCTTCCAATATGTAGGACTGCAGGAGCTCTTGGTTCAAGTTACAAAAACATTAAAATAAGTACTATATTATTTTCATACGGGCTACTAAGAATTAAAAAAAGTGAAAAGTAAAAGAAATCAAAGGTTCTTGGAACATTTTTTAGAAGCCTGTCCAAATTCTGAAATTTTTATATAACCTCATGATGGGTTTATGAACAAAAGGTTATAGGAACGTATTTTACCTGTATGTCCAATTTCAATTATCTAGAAGCCTAACAGATAATGATATCTAACACTTTAAAATTTCTTCCTATGTACCATCATGCTTTTCAAGCATTTTATTCATATTAGCTTATTTAACCACTACATCACTCAATTAAGTAGGCATTAATTTTATAATCATTTAGAAATGGTAAATCGGAAGCACAGAGTAGATAAGTAACTTGCTGAGGATCACTCAGCAACTAATAGAACTGGAACTAAAAATAGGCAGCCTGGAGCAAACAGAGGGAGAACCAAGATGGCAAAGCGCAGGTACTTGCAGCAAAATTACAACTAAGCCCAGGATGACTCCTGTTGTGAGGGATGGGGGTGGGAGGGGGTGTGTGCAGGAGGCAGCCAATCAATGATTCTCTCTCATCATTGATATTTCTATCTCTCTCTCCCTTCCTCTCTGAAATCAAGAAATATATATATATATTAAATGCTTGCTTAGTTCTCAAATACTTGCTTGCAAATCATGTAGAGAAAAAATGCCTACATGTGAGTCATGGGCTTTATTTGTTACGGGACATGAAGATAGTCCCTACATAGAAATATGGCTGTCTTTTTGATAAAAAAGAATTATACTGAAAACTTCAACTTTTGAATAACTTTGAATACAATATATCAAAAATCATTTTTTTGCAATAAGTGATGATATGAAAATTAAAATTGACAACTTGTCAAGTATTAGACCTAAAATTATCATCAAAGCCCTTTTATTTTCTAGACCTTATTTATTTGTTTATTCAACAATCTTCCCTTCCAGACTGAACACATCTGTGGCAATCCTCTATAATACCCACCGCTCTGCTATGCTCTCTGGACATTGCCTTGCAAAGACAGCCATTGATTAAACAAACCCTAACTGCCTTCCTAAAGGCAATTATTGCTTATACATACACATACTATATATAACAATGATCTATATCCGTTAACCTTATATGCTGTTCACAGTACTATATATGTTGTCCTCACTATAACACTACAGGAAAGTATTATCATCTCCATTTGATTTAAGAAAAAAAACTGATCTGGGGAAGATCAATGACATGCTCAAGAAATTACACAGAGGGCTAAGTGCTGGACACAGAATTTGAACCCCGATCATTTGATTCCAGAGCCTACACACTTACATACTAAAAGAGAATAAGACAGCACAGAAATTCTGAAATTTCTCCTCAGTTCAATTGAATTATCTCACTGGGGAGACATGCCAAAAGTAAGGAAAAAGGAAAGCCCAACTCATTCAAACTTGGGTGGCAGCCCTGACCCATTTGGTCATTTTTAATATAATATAAATGTTCAAAATGATTGATAATAAAATGCACTGTTTCTGGCTTTCTAGACTTCAAGTACTGAAATAGCATGGTGTGAGTATTTGAGTACTTGAACTAAATTCAAAATTAGCCTTCTCAGCCCTCCCTGAGACACCACCACTCCTTTGTAACAAAGAACTGATAGGCACCTGCTGGTAGTCTATGGCAACCACCACTGTATTGATTATATTAAAAGATAACAATGGCTTACCCTATGTATAAACTGTGCAGCTCTAACAGGCTAAATCATTATTGTAATTTTCACACTTGCTAAATAGATATAAGTGCTCCTAGAGATAGATGCATTTTCCCAGAATTATATTAATAACATTTAAGTGATGCTTCAAACTCAATTGACTAATAGTTTGGTTTTTTTTGTGTGTGTGAATTCAACACAATGAAATAAGCAAGAAGTTACAAAAGTAAAAAAAAACTGTAGGAAATGAAACAGTTGGGTGTGTTTATTTTTTCTTTATAAGTGAGACCTCGTGTGTAGATGTATGTATATGTGTGTATTGCTAAATGAATATGTAAAATGAGTACATTTAATTTGAGAGCACTGCTCATCCAGTCCACCTTGTGTGTTTTTCCCTCAACACACTGGAAGTAGAAAAGTTGGAGAAATCACTTTTTTACCTATTACTCTAAATATACCTTTATTTTTTCACCCTCCTCTGGCCACCTCATTGGAGTTTGGTAGGAACAGACACCAGCATATAAGCGAGAGATAGTGGGGGTAAGCATGTCTTCACTATTTATGTATGCCTTGAGTCTTCTTTTCAAGCATTAAATAAACCCAGTATGTATTGTTGTGCTTGTCTAAATACATATTCTCAGTGGCACAAATGTTTTTTTATCTGTTCTGTTTTTGTTGTTCACCCAAGCATTACAACTACATTTTGAGATAATTTAGGAATTGTTAAATATTGGTGTGACAGATGGAGGTCATAAGGAGAGCAAGTATCAAATGTGTGTCTTTATCTTTACTGTCATCTTCAGAACCTCCTATTTCTTTGCACATTTGCACCTTTGTTTCCATAATGGTATTTTTGTAAACATATATGTAAATATGAAGGAGATAGAAGAACAACATAGTCATGTCAGATGGTTTTAAGATTCTAAAGTATCCAGGACTTACCTCTTCATCCTAAGCAAGTCAATCAAATGAGAAATGAGCATGACTGCTGGACAGAACTTATCCACACCTGAAACTGTATGCTAGCACTTTGCATAATGTCTTGTCTTTATTTTAATTACTAAAGCAATTCTTATTTAAAATATATTTTATTGACTTCAGAGAGGAAGGAAGAGGGAGAGAGAGATAAAAACATCAATGATGAGAGAGAATCATTGACCGGTTGCCTCTAGCATGCCCCACACTAGTGATCCAGCCTGCAACTTGGGTATGTGCCCTGACCAAGAACTGAACTGTGACTTCCTGGTTCATAGGTTGATGCTCAACCACTGGGTCATGCTGGCTGGGCTCTTAGGCAATTTTTGATGACTCTCATCTTTATAAAAGTTCTACATGGGGAGACACAGTTGAAAATTTCTCTAAAGGCTCTCATGGCTACCTCTAACAAAACAAAGTTCCCAAACAAAACTCATTTCTCTTCTCTAACCACTTAAATGGTCCAAACTTTCTCACCCTTTACCGTACATATCCCACCCCTGATTTGATTTCTTTTATAGAAAAAAAACAAACAAAAACACATGGGAGGTTAAATGATCCAGCACAGCAATGAGCAGGGGGGAGAAACTATCTCATTATTTACCAGATTGTGTACAGAAGACTGTGTTTCATACTGTCTCCCATGGGGCAAAGTAATGAACTAGTCATGTTTCGATCTACTAGGTCACAGCAAATAATTAAGACACTTGTTACAGTCATCTGTGTGGTGTGATCCTGTAACAAGTCAGAATGGATTTTCTATAAATTCAAGAAAAGGTCCTTACGACCCTAATTTTAAAATCTACATCTTAGCTAATTAAAAACAGTCCCAAATTAATTCATTATTTCACATCTAGTGTGTTGAGAATGTACCAACTGATTTCAAGAGGAGAGAAAAACCTTAATTTTTTCCTTCTGTTCTTAGCTCTTCCAATACTTAAGGTGTTTACTGAAAAAGAAATATAGACACGCTCTAACCCCCCTCCCACCCACCAAAGTGTGGAGTTAACATTAGAAGAGTTGGAAAAAGATGCTGAGGGATCTCTGAGGATATATATATAGCTTAAGTTTCACATCTACCAAGTATAGCTTACGTGTGGATCTGACTAAAAATATCTTACCTCAAAATATTTTCCATATCCAAGGTGTGATCTCACAACTTTATGTACCTTCTTATGAGGCAAGGATGATTAGCCCTATTTCATAAATAGCAATTTTTAAGTACAAAGAAGGTTATACAATTTTAAAGTGACTTTAGTGTCTAGTTTTTGTTTGTTTGGTTGGTTTTTAATGTGGTAAAATACCCAGGCCAAACATGCTCCTAAAATCATTCTGAACAATTCTGAAAATGTCTTATTTAAAATTCTGAGATTTTCATCCTAGTTTTTATTTGCAAAAAATCTCTTCATATTCTGATTATTTTTTAATTATTTCTATAACTCATACTGTGCAACTTAGTTACTAAACTATTTTACAGCTTTTTAAATCAATCATTTCAAGAAAATAAAGTGTTTTGGAGTCGTTTTTACTTACTTATTTTTTCATAAATGATTAGGAAAAGATATGTAATAATTCTGAATGAAGTAGGTTTGCTCTGAAATAGTGCTTTGTTCTAATTATCATCCTAATGTAGTTTAATGAAGATCTAAGTATATCATTTTAATTGCAGCTAAAATCAAATTATTTTAAATGAAATTAGGAATTATTATACAATAATCATACAGTAATCATTCTTCGCTAAATATCACATTCATTACCAATAAACACTTTTGTAATATATATGTATGGCAAAAAAAGTGGCAAAATTAACTCAACTGAAAATAACAATGATAATTATGATTGATAATTTAATTAAATAACATCTAAACAAGAACTATAAAAATATTTTTAAATTTTTATAAAACCTTACAAATTGCAAAAGCTTAATATATAGCTCAGCCTAATTCCAATTTTGTAGAGCTCAAATAATAAAATAAACTTTTTATTTTTGCATGACTAAAACTATTTCTCAATTCTCTTTGTATAAAAGGAAAAGAAAACCTTTTAGATAAATAATTAGAGAATTTTTAGATCATATTTTTTATTTTCTGTAAAATAGATGGGATAAATGTTTAAAACTTATGGCACCTATAAATATTACTTTTAATGTAAAATTATAATAAATACAAAGAATTGATTTGTAAGCATATAAGAGACTTGAGAAATATGTAAATACTAAACAACATGGAAATTAACATGCAGTTTGATCAGTGCTTTCTGTTTTTACGTCCCTTTAATTTACCTCTGATAAATTAAATTATTATGTGAATTATTATTTATATAATAAACACTATTTATACTGAATAGTAGATATGCAAACTATTAGTGATGTGCTCTGATAAAATACAAATTAAGAGTATTTTAAAAGTACTAGCCATTCTGTGATTTTGAATTTCCACAAATTAAACTATTTCCCTAAAACCCACTGTAACAATTAAACTACACAAAACAGTGAAAGTTTTCAACTCCTGTGAGCAATGCCATGCCACCCTTAAAACCACAACTGTGGTTTGACAAATAACTGCTGTAAAAACAGACCTCTCATTTGGGCATGTGACTTGTTTTGAATAGCTTCATTACTTATTGCTTTCAATGCCCCAATCAGCACATAATCCTTAACCTCAGCATTTTACAACTTGGTGATAAACATAGTAAAAGATGGCTTTTGGAGAAAATTTTAGCAATCAACCAAGAAAATGTCTTTTTAAAATAAATTGCTAAATTTAATTAACACATTACCCCAATAGTCAAATTATATGCTTCAATTGAAAACCTTTGCATTTAGCTGACTTACTAACATTGAAATATAGATACATTAGCAAAATATTACATCATAATACTAAGCATGTTTAATTCATCACTGCAAGCAACTTTTTATTTTGTCAATTGCATATGTGTGCATAAAACTCAACTTTTACTTATCTGATACTTGTATAATGATGTCAACATACCCTATTTTTCTTTCCAATTATATTTATTAATATAATAAAACCAATAAATGCTTACCTTTTCCTGTTTTAGAATGAATCCTATCTTTCAGAAAGTAATTAATTTTTTTAAACTTTATTTTGTATCTATAAGAAGTATTAATTTAAAAACCATAATTTAGGCTAACAATACTAAAGTACATGACTGACATTCACTTTACGACATTTACTACTACCTTTTCTTTATTCTTGGTTCCAAAACTGTTACATAGAATTAGTAAACTGGAATGTCACAAGATATCTATCTTGTTACTCTACAGCATAGGAACTTTGAGAAACTGTTCCTTCTCTTACCACTTCATCCCTTTTATACCCATTAACTTATTATGTGATATTAAGCATCATTTTACTACAGAAGAACCAGAAACAAGGAAACCATTTTTGAAGATTATGATGAGAAATAAGAGAGTTGATTTGTCATTTTTATATTCTTATTCCATTGGAGATACAAATTTCTTATTAAGTGTCAAAATCAATAGACCCAGTTGATAGGTTGTAAAGATCTCATTAATAAGATTAATTAGTGTTTAATGTTAGCTATACCTGCAAATATTTCAGGTAGTTATTGTTAATTGAATGAGCAAAATTCAAGAAAAAATATTTTTGTTTTAGGTGTTTTATCAATATTGGAATGGAAGTTTTACATAATAGTGTATTAACTACCAATGGTAATAAAATCTCATTTCATACCAAGGGTTGTAGAATAAGTGATCTAAATAGAAAATTTTTTTTAACATCCCAAGTATCCATGTCTTATTTTTAGTGCAATTACAGAATACACTTTAAATCAAAGTTCCGTCTCTATAAGAAAGGATGATAGATATCAATAACTAAATGAAAATATGGCAGCATTTTCCCTCAAAATTCCAATCCACCAAAAATCCATAAGCAACTAGTTATCTTTAGAGTTTAGCAACCGGTAATGATTACTTGTCATAATGAAAAAGCAGATTACTTCCATATATTTCACCTACTAACCACTCACTGTGTAAAAATAAATTAAACTTTGTTAAGTATAAGAACCAATATTTAGTTGCCATTACTATATATATTTCTGTTGTTCACAAATGGACAACTTTAGCACTTCTATATGTGGAAGGTATGTAGTGTACATGGGTGATGACCCTTGAAATTAAAAATATTAATATTCCGAGTGGATGCACAGGACTAACTGGAAAAGTGTTATATCAATATCATAAAGAAGGCTGCAGTCAATTGTTAAGTTTAATTACAGGAACTGTTTCACTTATTAACAAACAAGAAACTCAACAATATTGGATTTCATCAACATTTTGTGAAGGGTGTTTTGCACTATGGCTCACTAAGAAAGATAGTTATTCTGATCCATGTTAAGTCAACAGCAATGCACATACTAATGGATTGCATACTAAGTAAATACCATACTACATGGTATTTCCGATTTGAGGGAAAGCTTTTAACAACAAACTGTTATCACCAGACTGTGAAACTGAAGGGACATGCTTGATAACTCTGCCTGTGTATACCCCACGGTACCACCTTCGCAACAGGGGAGAAGAAACAGAGACGTTAAGTTCCCCAAGGGTAAAAAGCTGTTGCTAAGCAAAAATAACAACCCAAAATATAGAAAGCTATAGTTTGTTTTTTAATCACTACTTTCCTACTTTAATGCTTTAATTTGCCCAATTCAATATACACACCCAAAGCAGAGAAGAGGCAAAGACAAATCTCTGATAAACTTGCACCAAACCTACTCCCACATCCCACAAATAAGCACTTACCTTTCACCCAGATCAAAACAAAGTCAACGTTAAAGACCAACTGTGAGAGATTATCTTTACTTCCTGAGCTCTCTGACCCTCCTTTTCTAGTTCATTTTACATTTCACCATGTCATTGACTATGATCTTAAAACAACTACTTGCTTAAAACCCAAAGTCTCTAGAGTCTGGTCATGTCAGTTCGGTAAAGACTTAGGAGAAAAATCCACCTTCCTCCTGGCGCCCCCCCCCCCCCCCCGCCCCGAGGGTCGCAGCAAGCCTTACCAGCTTTCCTGTGATCTTTCTCTGGGTGGCACTTACCTGCTGCTCCCCAGGCTCCGTGGATTTCACCAGGTGCTTATCCTTGTACAGAGACCAGAGACCAATGTTGGGCAGGAATATTAAAGCCACCATGAATAACAAAGTCATCTGCAGAAATCTCTTCTGTTTCCTCTTCATTGCAAATGATAACAGGTAAGGAAAGTTAAAGGAGATGGCTCCCTGACTGCTCCCGGTGTTGAATGCCACAGTCCTTTCCTCTCCCCTGCCAAGCACCAGGAACTGCGGAGAAGCTACAAACTTTTGTTGCGTGCTCAGCACCAATCTGCACGATTCAGAGGGAGTTGGGCATCTGCAGAACAAACGCACAGTTACTTTCCCCCCCCAGAAAACTATGACGAGGGCACTATCTATTGGCTTAGAAGTAAATGACTTGACTGAGGGAATCATTAAGCCTATTGACCTCCATTAATGTAAAGCGATGGAGTAAATATTAAAGGTTTCATAGACTAATCGTAAGTTATGAAAAGTCAATGGCATGCTAGATACTTAAGAAAACGGGAGTTTTGGAGTGTGTGTGTGTGTGTGTGTGTGTGTGTGTGTGTGTGTGTTGTGTGTGTGTGTTTCCCCACCTTAGTGTGGAGGGCTGGGTTGAGGAGGAGCGAGTAAGTAAAAACTGTGTGGGAGCAAGCGGCTCAGCCCAGCAAGTGTTAGGAAGAGAAGTGTCCGCTTTGGACACTGCGGCATCACCTTCCCCGTCTTCCCGGAACATCGCCTGTTATGTTCCCCTGGGGAATAACCCACCTGAACTCAAGTTCAACTCCCTCCAAAGCCAGCGTGCTGGTGGGCGCTCAATGGGGATGGATGCGGGGACGCGCGGGATCCGGGAGAACTCCTGTTTGGATGGAGGCGCACCAACTCCTGTCGATGCTCCTCCGCAGGCAGAGGCTGGCGACCTGGGAGCCCGAGGGAACGGAGGCTACAGATGTCAGCGGCGTCCAGCCAGGAGGCGGAGGCGCCCGCGTTTCCCCTGAGCAGCCCCAGGAATGTGATTCCTTGAAGTAAGCTCTCTGCCCATCAATCTCTTCCTTCCTCCGGTGACGGCGACGCGCTCACGCTCCGCTGTTCATGTTACCATTATTTTCCGGCCACTGAGCGAACCCAGAGAAGCGCCAGGAGCGCCGAAAGAGCGCTGTCTTCAATCTCCCCTGGGGGAAGGGGACGGAGAGTGGCGAAACCCAGTCGGAGCTGGGATTGCAGTGAGTGAGGGCGCCGGGGAGGGGAGCAGACCGTGAAGATGCGCCCAGCTCGCCCCCAGCGCTGCTCCTCGCTCGCAGCCTCCTGCCTTCTGCTGAGAAGGTGCTGATGTCGACCACGACCACGTGTGGGAGCCCTGGAAGGGAGGGTGGGCGCCTGCAGGGGGTGGGCAGTTCCTCCCAGCTCCCAGATCCTATATAAACAAACCTGGGTGGAGGAAAAGGAGGCGGCAAAGGCGCAGCTGGAAGAGGACCTGGAGCTCCCAGCCTCCGCGGATACTCTCTCTACCAGGCCTTTTCTGGGCAACTTCGGACCGGCGAAGACAGCACCTTCCCCGCTCGGCTCACCCCAAAGGGGCCAGGCCAGAGATTCCGGAGGAATAGTCACCGGCTGCTCGTGGGTTTGCCCTGGATTCCTCCATGGTGCCTACGAGCTAGGCGAGCCGGGCCAGCCGGGCGCAGCGGCAGGGGGCGGAGGCGAACGGTGGCTGAGCAGGTCCCGCTGAGAGGGGTTCCCCGGGAGGCGCGCCCTGCAGCTCAGGCCAGGTACGTAGTGGGAGAGGAGGAGGAAGAGGATCCCCAACCGAGGCAGGGGTGCGGTTCAGAGTTCTCGGGCAGCAGCTTCTGCGGCGGCACCATGGAGACCAGGGCGACTGTACTTGGGTCTGCAAACACCAGGGGCCCCGGTTAAGATTTGGCAGTGCCACCCCGCTCCTCCCCGGCTCTGCTCGTCCGCACCCCGCGCTCCTTAATGAACGGGCTACCTGTCCTTCACACTCCTCCCACGATCCCCCCAGAAAAATGTGGGGATCCAGATAAGTCTGTCCGAAGGGACTCCTTAGTCTCCCTAACGTAAAGATGCACCAACGCCCCAGACCGCACACGCACGAACCTGTGGCGGCCTCTCCAAGAGATCGGTGCGCCTAGCACTGTGCCCCAGGCCCTCTCTGGATCGGAGCTCGTGACTCCTGAAGGAATGGGGGCTTTGAGGAGGCGACAGACATGCACGCAGTGCCCGCTGTGTCGGCCTGTCTACAACTAAAAAGAAAGGACTCGATCATCTCTTTGTTACAACCTAGATGTGATGCTCACACGCTTGGGATAGATGAGACTGTGGGATCCACAATGGTTTTTTTCTCCCTTCCTCCCTCTCTTCCTCTCTCTCCCACCCTCCTTGTCTCCTCCCCCTCCCTCTGCCTCCTACTTCTACGCTGTCTTTCCCTGTCTCACTTGAGACTCAAGACAGAGAAGTGAGTGTGTTATGCCTTCAACTCCTCACATTTTACATTGTAAATGTATTCAAACAGTTTGCATGAATAAAGCTTTGTGCCGAAATACTTGTTTTTGTGAATCACTTGCATTTCAAGAGTATACAAACACATTCAATAAATGTTTTTGAATATGTCCTTTAGATAAAGACCAGGTACCTTTCAATTTAACAAGTGGAACTTCATAATCTAAAGTGCAAGGGACATAATTCCTCACCACCATACACATACACACACACACAGCCTTTTGTACTCTGCATTTTTTTTTCTAACCTCCTTTCTCTCTCTTAGCAAGCTTAGTTCTGAGACAGAAATATGAATCCTGGCAAGCAATAGATCTGGGAGAGGTTTGCTGGGAGGATTATCTGATCCTCAATCAAAGGTTTTTGGAAAATTATTTAAATTCAGGGTGTACCAAAAATGTATACACACACTTTAAATATTCATAAAAGCAGTGTTTATTAACGTATCATTCATTTCCAAAATTGCTCTATCAGCTGTTAAAGTATGTATACATTTTTGGGGACACCTGTATATTCAATTTGTACTCTCTTATGGATAGTAATTAATAATTATAAAGTAAAAGAACTCAAAAGTGCTCTAGGAATTAAAATATTAAAAAATCCCTTACATTTTTAATAATATCAGTTTTTTAAATCTTAACAAAAAGTATTCATTCACAAAAACACATTCTTTTATTTATGAAATCCAGATTTTGACTTGAGTTGTACTTCATTATTACTGTTCCACTAGTAAGTACTCTTACAAACAATACGCTTTTGTTGAACATTATTAGTTGCAGTAAATGGTTACAATAACTTACTTTCCACATAAAGTCCATGAAGAATACATGGTTGAAACCGGAAGGAAAAAATAATTATGTTCATCCCTGCTTTTACAGTGTATTTCCAGATGATCACTCCCCCCGCCCCATCTGTTAAATTTATTTAATTTCTTGGAATCATAATTTGCCTCCGATCTGGTCTTCTTTCATAATTCCACATGTAAACTTCCAACAGATGTCAATACTTCTAACTAGAATTGATATTTAGGTTGAGTGTATAAACAAAAAAAAACACTCAATGACAGTTAATCCCTTTGTTCAAATAATCCAGATTAAATGCATACACACTAATACACCACCTCTCTTTAAATTGCTTATTAAATTGGTTTAATCAAAATCCTTATGTCTTTTAAATTTGTCTTATATCCAGAGACACCCTTTTTACCCCCATTTGCTCCGCCATTTTGTTATGATTCAATGGGCAACCTCATAAGTCCCATGTGCCTAGCGATGATTTAATACCTCTAAAGGACACAGGGAAAGAAAATAGAGTAATATCTATGACCCTGAATAACTTAAAGCCCACTCGAAAATCTGACATAAAGGCAACTGGAATAAAGTACAAAAGCTTAGCTGTTTGTAGGAACGTTTACGTGAACCAAGCTTAAGCTCTAACTTAAAGAAGCAGAATATTGCTTTAATTATGGCTGTACTCCAAGGTTGCATGACTTTAGACAACTATGTGACTGTCTCTCAGGATTCTGTGCATTTGAATGGGCGCTGCTGGGTGGTTCTGCTACATGTGATGTAGTTTGGGGTCTGGGGGTTGATTGGATGCACCAATCAACACCCTCACATGCTGGCAGTTGGCACTGAGTGTCAGCTGTAAATTCATCTGGGGAGTTGGTTACAGCCCCTCGGGTCTCCTCTACATGGGCCCCTCCGTGTGACCTGAACTTCTCTCAAAACATGGTAGTTGAAACCCCAAAGGGAACCTCCCAAAAATCTGTGTTCCAAGAGAGAGAAAACAAATCTGCCAAGTCCTTTTAAAGGCCCATTATTGGTACAGCCTCACTTCTGCAATTGTCCAGAACCAGCCCTGAATCAAGGGAGGGGGTCAGAGATAAAACTCACACCTCGATGAGAGATTTGAGGGGAAAAAAAAAAGTGTGGCCATTTTTAATCCAGTATGGATATTCAAAGGCACATAGGTAGAAATTCACAAGGAAGGCTCAACCAGATTAGACAGTGGATAATAGGGAGTAGGAGGAAAGGTTTCATAGATTGGGTTGAGTCAAATTATTCAATTACTACAAAGATAGTAAAATGAATTTGTTTTAGTTTAAAAATAGGCTTAGCACCGCCCTGGCCAGGTGGCTCAGTTGATTGAAGCACAGTCTCATACACTGAAAGTTGGTGGGTTTGATTCCCATTCAGGGCACATACCTAGGTTGCAGGTTCAATTCCCAGTCGGGAGTGTACAGGAGGCAACCGTTAGATGTTTCACATCAGTGTTTCTCTATCTCTCCCTCTCTCTCTCTCTCTAAAAAAAAAAATCAATAAAAAACACCCTCAGATGAGGATTTAAAAATAGGCTTATGACTTCATGTGCTAGTTATAAGAAATAAGTACTAGCTATGTAATGTACAAGATGATGACTATAGTTAACACTGCTGTGTAATATACAGAAAAAATCTTTAAGAGCATATATCCTAAGAGTTATCATGGCAAGGAGAATGATTTTTCTTCTCTTTCTATTGTATGTATGTGAGATGATGAACGTTAACTAAATCAGTTGTGGTAATCATTTTACAATATATGTAAATCCAACCATCATGCTGTATACCATAAACTTATACAGTGATGCATGCCAATTCTTTCTCAATGAAACTGGAAAAAAAACAGGTTTATTACTTCATTTTTTAAAATACTGATAGCCCCGGCCAGGTGATTCAGTTGGCTGGAGCACTGTCCCATAAACCAAAAGGTTGGGGGTTCAATTCCCCCAGTACCTAGGTTGCAGGATACATACCTAGATTGCAGGTTTGATCCCTGGTCAGATTGTATGGGAGGCCACCAATCAATGTTTTTCTCTCAGATCCATGTTTCTCTCTCCTCCCTTCCTGTCTCTCTAAAGTCGATTTTTAAAAATACTGATAACATGATTGGTACTTAATTTGAGAGAAAATATTCACTCATGATTTTTTCCTATTAATAAGTATTTTAAAATTTAATAGTATAAACTTTACATCTGAAAAGACAATATGGGGAGAAGGTCTGTTGTTTCATAAACCAAAGAAAGGTCATCAGCAAAAATCTTTGAGGTTTGTGTTTTTACCCAAACACTATAGAGTCACAAACTAATAAGCATGTGTTAATAAATATAGGAGCAAATAAGACTGTAAGATAACATTAAAATTAATTTATTTTAAGTTTAAATTAGTATATTCGCTACATCAAATAGTAATATTAAAATTTATCAATAAAACAATAGCCTATTCTACCTTGAATTTTAATATAGTAGGTTTTATTTTATTTTCAATATGAGGTTTTTTTAAGATTTTATCAGGAAGAACAGACACGTGAACATATATATGATGTGTCTAGACATGGAAATATATTCATTTTTCTTTTATCCACTAATGATGACTGAAATATGAAAGTTTCCACTGAATAAACTACTAGAATATTTTGTTATTAGCCTAATTTTGGCTAAGTTAACTCAGATTGGGGGCAGGGTGATTCTGCAATGAAAACAGGGAGGTGAGTATATTTTATAGCAATTTTAATAAGAGTAAATTTAAATTATACAATTCATTTTGGGTAATTAAATAGTTACATATTACAGAAACTTTCTTCAATTTTTTCTAGAATTTTAATATTTGCCTCTACAAAATAGGGAAAAATAAGAGTCAACTTAAATATTAAAATGTGGTATTATCTGGTCTCTATTATTGCTGAAATTCTTCACCAAAAAAGCCCCAAGTTGATTGCTATACATATATATGCAAGTGCTATTGGGCAGAGAATAGGAAGATGAAAATTCTTAGAGAATTTTCAGCACAGGAAGTTAAAAAGTGTTTGCAATAAAATGTGGTGCAAATTTAAAAGTGACAAATGCTAAAAGAAAAATAAGGTTATTTATTCTTGGACTAAATATTTTCTAACTAGACAAGATCTTTACTTTATGGTATTTAGATTCTTAGTAATCAAATTTACCTCTAAATTGTTTTTTTTACTAATGGAATATAGCATGATTCAGCTATTTTTTCTTTCCCTATATGTTTAGTTTTTTATTTAGTACTTACTATATGTCAGGCATTTATATAAGTGTTTCTTAAGAATTGTCAGGTAATTTTTTAAATAATTCTATTGCATAGGTTCTATTATTATCTTCACTTAGTAGCTTAGAAAACTAAGGCAAATAGATAGTAATCATCTTGCTCAAATAAGTGCCATTAAGAGGTAAGGCAGAAATTTAAATCAGGCATTTTGCTCCTTCATATTCCAAGATCTTAACTACTACATCATCTTTTCCTAAAATCTTATCTGTTCTCCTGGAAAAAGATGTAATTTTTCCTTTTGCTCTTCCTCTCTCTCACATTGTATTTTTATCTTGTGAGAAGATTAAAGGAGCTAAACAACAGAGCCTAGTTTGTGGGAGATGATAGTCTAGTTTTACAACCTCAAAGCCTCTCTACTCATGTTTTGCTTGTTTTGAAGTATAAAAAAGAAGGTTGTGCTGAAGGTAAAATTACATAATCAACTCTTCCTTTTTACGTATTATATAAAGGTAACTACATTTTAGTTTGCATGGTTATAATTTTATATAAATCACACATCAGATTTCTGTTTAGATTTAACCTTTCTCTTCTCATATGCAAATATTTGCACCTTGTGCCTTTTTTAAAGGTTTTTAACCTATTTTATGCCTTTAAAATATGTATGTTGAACAAATAAACTACATCCATTTATTTGAGAGAAAAGTCTACCATATGCTTGGAATGATGAAATCAAGTGCACTAAAGTTAATAAATGTAAAGGAAATATTTTTCATAAGAGCTCAATACAAAGTATCATAAATGAACATTTTAAAAAGATGCAATTAGGCCCTAACCAGTTTGGCTCAGTGGATAGAGCGTCGCCCTGCGGACTAAAGGGTCTCAGGTTCGATTCTGGTCATGGGCATGTACCTTGGTTGCGGGCACATCCCCAATAGGGGGTGTGCAGGAGGCAGCTGGTGG